AATAATTCAAATAATCAAATTTTGAATAACTGAATTTTTGAAGAAGAAAAAAAGAAATGAACATGCTTGGTGAATAGCTTTATATAATACATATATAAGCACCTATACATAGTTTATTTTAAACTTGTTGCATTAGAAATTATCAATTGACTAGGTATACAAATTATTTCAACACTTGGAAAGTTGATTAAATTAATATTAATATTTCACTTCAAAAATATGATCAACTAATCATAATTTATGAAACATATTTAAAATAAAATTATACCTAGTTTAATATATGCAAGTACTTTAAATGGCATTCATAATATGGGTAATGTAAAAGGATAAAGGAACTTTCACTCAATTTTTCTGATAAATAACATTTATCATTTGAAATTAGGTAAAAAGGTTAGCATAATTTTAAAAATATAATATGTAACTCACTTCAATACAATAGGAGCAGCCACATTGTTGAAGTGTCCAAGAATTTTTTACAGGAACTTCATTTAAACATACTTTACAAAGTACAATAGGTTGATCTCTATGTGTTACAAAACTTGATGTTGATCCTAATGAATATCTAGATGAAGATGCAGCCAAAGACAAAACACTACTACATCTTGAACATACAGCAGTGTCTCGTAATCGATTTATTGGTTTAATTCCTGCAGGCCGATTTAATACTACATTAGATAATGTTACCATAGTATTGTATTTGCGAATTGGTTCATCATTCCGTATACATTCTAAATGTGACCAACTTTCTGCTGAACCAGGTTGATTTAAAGATGAAGATGAGGATGACTTGCCCCTGGCCAAAGTGACCAGGGACCGTAAACTGGGCATTATTAAATCTATTTTACTTTTGCTCCATTTTCGTAGTTTTCTGGCAGCATCTTCATCATCAATTGATGATTCATTATTCAGTAGCACTTCTTCTTCTCTTTCCCAACTACGTCTATTTTTTTTAGGTAAATCGACATCACTTTTAGACGGTTTCTCTTCCAAACCATTTTGGCCTGAGAGCACAGTGATACGATGAGACTTAGGACGCAGGAACGGATCACGTTCTAATATTATCTCGTGACCATCTTCATCATCATCCCGCAAAGAGTGAGTACGTTCATAAGTAACAGCGGTCTTCTTCATATCGCCGGTCGACGTGACCGCCAATCCGTCGACCGATCAGTTAGGGCTGATGGATAATTGTTTGTCATTTTCCGTGAACAATAAATTCAACTACATTTTTTAACACTTGGATGAAATTTATTGTATACCTAATGTTGTTTAACTTTAACCTTCATCTAGAAAACAATACAAAACACTGACTAAGTAGTAATTCAGGAAGTATTTAAATCGATTATCATAAAAATTGTTACAATTAATTAAAGCGATTGTCGTTTTAATCATTATTGTGTTTTTTTGTTTTATTTTGTTACCTGATAGTGTTGAATTTCGTGACCCCCTTTACTTTGAAAACAAGTTTATTAACGTCTCAACCTATTATTTGGGTTACGACTTTAATAGTAGGTCATTTAGTCATTATTTTATGAACGATCGATAACGTGATATTGAAAATTCTTGTACACAAAATACACAATAGAACTGGTGATAAATTTTCACAAAACGAGAACATTTTTATAGTTTTTATCAGATGAATACGACCAATCAGCCGATTTGACAGATGGCCACACCGACATGCACGCCAATATACGAAAATAAACCGGTGACAGGTTGACAAACATCGAGTGCGTTGTTTTTTAAAATATTTTTTTTTACTATATTTTACAAAATAATAACGATGTAGGTACAATTTAATATTACGATAAACGATAAACCTATTCACTAAAGGTACAGTCTTGAATACAAATCCTATAAATAAATAGTATTACCATTAACCACCAACTCACCGATATTATCGAAAGACACGAATACGTTCTATACAAACATTCCGAATTAAATGCGGTTGCCGTGAATGCATTTATAATATTCGCGCGAGTATGTTTTAATTTACTAGACGTCCTCAAATAATAATTACATTTTTACCAAACGATATAAAATGCGTTAATTTTATTCGTTGTAACGCTACCGTACACACACAACACACTGGCCACGCACAAACTAACAAGACTCTATGGATTATACTGAACTGCATCTGGCCATGAAATAATATTATCGTCTAGTGAATACAGGTTTTTTGTTCACTCGCGACTCGTTGCGCATTTCTCACAGATAGGTATACGTTTTTTACGTCCTGTACACCTATACCAAAACGTCTCGTTTCATGTAATAAAATATCCATAACCATAAATCGTATGTATAAATAATTTTTCCGCCAGTCAAGCCATGCAATTAAGAAGTTCGATTTACTATTGTTGAATTCAATAATGTGTGTTTTTTTTTTCAAAAGGAATAGCCAAGTTGCGTACCGTATTAAAGTGCTATGGTTAACTTTAGGTCCTCGTTTTGTGTGGAGTATAAAAATATAATTTAACCCTCAATGAAATCTGTCAAAATTGTAACAAAATGGAAAAATAATTTTTTAATAGTTACCTATTCGAGTTGTCATCAATGAACGCATTTAATTATTTAAATAATGAAATAACATTTTTAATCATAGTTTTAATTTATAATAGCTGAACAATCGACTTAAAATTTATTACGACCATAGAATAAAATTATAACTAAATATTATTTTTTTTTTGTATTCAGGATAATAATTTTAGATTATATTTAACCACACAGATATCACCAATTTTTTTTTTTTTTTTTAATTTCTTTTTAATAATGCAACTTACTCAAACTCAACTACCTTCGACTAAAATATTTTTTTTTTAGTTTGGTAACGTTTTTTGTAATAGGCATCGCGTTACATTATTATGTAATAAACAACGGTTTTTAATGGGACCCTCAGCATTCAATTTATTTATACGTACACGGATACATGGTAGTATAGTACCCGCAGTTCTGTCGTTATACTAGTTATTTACTATCTTGCTTTGTTTTTTCTAACAAACTACATTATTTTACACCTATAAGTTACAAGGCTAACAAATATACAATAAATGTAATTTCTTGATTTCTGTTTGTTTTTAACTTAAAAACACACGATTCAAAATTGATTCTAAAAAAAATAATGTATTTAACAATTAATAATAATTTAACAGAATTAAACTTAATTACGTATTAGAAAAACAAAGGAATTCTAAATTCTTCTTACAATAATATTTGTTATCTTTAAAAACAATTTGTAAAAAAAAAAAAAAACGATAAAAATCACGCAACAATTAAATTGCATTTATGATTAATTTATTTTTATATTTTATTATACTGAAATGTAAACAAGCCGAATTATTTGTGTTTCCTCTATAATTTGTGTAGCGTAGATTATAGTATAAAATCTGTTGTAACGAAAAAAAATCATACATCACATTGTTTGTTCAACTCGGTTTTTTAGTTTACTTCCAATCTTGGACATTATATGAAGAATCTAGACTGTAGTCTGTGACATCTAATAAGAACTTTAACAAGGATGATTAATTAACTCAATCTTGCATTCCATCAATAATTTTAAGTATTTTGAAAACAAAATCGTTAATTGATAACAATATTAGTGGGTGATGGAATTATTTATTAATAGTTCCTGTATAAAAAAATACAGTGAAAATTATAATTTAACTTAACTCATTCAACTTTTACCCCCGTACATATATCAATATTGATCTTGAAATAAAGAAATTTAAAATCTCAATTACATTATTAGCATAATTAAGTAAATGTCAGCACACTATTTCTGTTTTCTTACCCTATGCCCAACATAGACAACTTGTATTCAGCAGAAATAATTTTGTAAGAATGGTTAAAATGTTATAACACTTATAACTGATATCATTATTTAACTTAAAAGTAAGAATATCGTGTAGATCATATTTAAAACAAATGTCAAGTGTTTTCAAATACTAAAATTTTATTAAGTTATAACTCACTTCAAACAATCAATAAAACCCTAACCGTCCTAAATAATAGGTATTCTTTCCTTTAAGTTTGATGAGAAGTCATTTTAATATTCTGCTGAATGAAAATTTGTTGCAAGGTGGTTAAAAATAATAATAGTTAACAAACATTTAAATAATTTACTGTTCTATGTAGTATGATTAATTCAAAAGACTTAAAAGTTATAATGATTAATAATGATTGGTCAGTACCAGCTATTAAATTTCTAGGTTTACCCTTTATAAAAAAAAAAAGTTTTTATGGCACTATCAACACCAGAGACCTAATTAATAATTAGACATTAAGTCAAACTGTCTATTTCACAAAGCACAGTATCTTCACAAAAGTATACTTTCAAAGTTAAGCTAATATACTATTTTTGTAAACTTTGAATCTAATATGTGAGGATGCATCACATATGATAATAATACACACATTATACTAATTAATTATAACAGCAATTTCTGACGACTACCGAGTTTGTTACTATCATTTACTCATTGAATTATAAATAAAAAGGAATATTAATAAGTAAATATCTAAAATTTAGTGTTTTCTGAATGCACTGGTTTTAAATAATATTTTATTTAGAGGCTTAATAATTAAATAGCATGTCATAAATTGACATAGTACATTGATCATATATACTAATATCAATATGATTGTTCAATAATGTTTAATTATGAAACTCAAGTATAATTAATGAATAGAGGAGAAATAGGCAATACAGAAAAATTCTACATGCAAATTGTAGAACAAAAAAAATTTTTTAATAGATTTGGCACTAAGATATCTAAGTAAATAACTACAAAAACAAAAGAAAAATCACAAAATATATTTATTATTTTAATACTAACTTAAAAAATATAATCATAATTTCATAATATAAATAATAAAGTAAGTTGTTCGTGTCAAAACATTTGATTCTGAGAAATTAAAAGTACTAATAATAACAATATAATTTAACAGTAATTTTTATAGGTTATATAAATCAACAACTTAAGTATAAAAAAAAACCTATAAATTAAAGTATCTTACAAATATAGATTTAATGATACTACTTTGGGTATTTAAAAACATAAAATAGTTTTACAATTGACAATTTATTGTGAATGCATGATCATATTGTATTCAAAACATACCGTCGTTTGCTCCTAATGGTATTAACAACAAGATAAAACATATCAAATTACGGAATAAATCTTTATGATCAGATGGCACAGCATATGGCGTCAATTTGGTTGTAATATCATGTAACTGTTTAATTATATTTGTATTAAAAAAAGAAAAAGAAATATAAAATAATATATAGTATCAGTGGGATATAATTACCTCATGGCAAATACAAATAAAAATGAACGAAACAATCAAACCATTGAGTACAGGATAACCAGGCAATAACACAAGAACTCCATGAGTATCGGCTGCTAACCATATATGACATTGACAAACCATTAATTCTAAAGAAATTCTCCCAAACCAAGCAAATAAACTAGAGAAACGTGTTCTCAATACGCCTGAAACATTTCTTAATATAATGTAACTAATAATCTGAAAATAAAAATAATATTGAATTAGTACAGTTTTTTTTAATTATTACACCTTGAATCTTACAGGAATGACTGATGTATAAGACAATAATTCATAACATTCCATTTTATTCTGACACAGAATATTATAAACAGTCGAGGCAATAAGTCCAATGAATGCAATAAATGAAGAAAATACGGCTAATCGAGGCAATACTAAATTACTGTGATTATTGTCATCAATTAAATTATAACGTTGAGCTAAGATGATGATAAAACTCAGTATTACACCATTAACAACGCTAAAAAAATATTTTATTAAATATCATAAATAATTTATAATTTATTTATTAAATTTGTTACCTAAAACGAGTTAGTTTCCATCGATACCACCATTCATGAATATCATCATCTGTAGTCACAAATAAAGCTTTCCATGGACGTGTGAGGAAAATTTTATCAAAAAATACCTAGAAATTAAAACTAATTAATATACAATATTTATAATTACATTAAATATGGGTATCATAACTGAACATACCTCAGACATATAAAGAATGGTGATAAAAATTAAAAGAGCCAAGATTTTCAAAATTATATATAAGTACTGTGCTGGCCTTATTTCAGATGAAGCTGCAGTTACACGGGGTGGGCAAATTAATAGTAAATAGAGAATTGTAAACCAAAATGATACTAAAGGTATGTAATAATAGAACTGGTATGGCCGGTTCATACAAACACACAAGACCACAGTCAACATGTTCAATCTAAATAAGATCTAAAAAAAAAATTAAATTAATTAAATTATTAAGATTTGGTTTAGTTTAAAATATGATACATATATTATACATTAATACACATATACATTATTTTTTTTATTAAAAATCAAACTTATCAATGAACCGATTTTCTATTTTTATTTAAACTAATAGCAATTTAATCTTAAGAACAAATATTAAAATTTAATAATTTTTTTTTTTTTTTTTTAATAACATTAATGAGTATACATTAAAAAATAATAATAAGTAAATAGAGTACAAAAACATGATTTTCAAAAATATTAAAATTTGAATAATTGCTTTACTTAAAAACCTTTTCGATTATTAAAATATGAATTGTATCACAATTGTATATGCCAAACACACAAAAAAAAATGATTATTTAAGGTAATAGTATCAATAAAACTTTCTTTTAAGAAAAAACAAATACATGATGATGATACCACATAAGAGCACAATTATTATACCTCAAAAATATTAGATTAAGATACTAATAAGCAGGTATAAATGTTGAAGTCAAAACTTAATAAAACAAATATAAAACATAGCTTCTGTTAACAAAGTCAATTTTGATTGTTTTAAGAACAAACATTGAACACATATTTTAATTTTAAGTTTTAAGTTCATATTATCAACATCCTAACTTTAAATTTTAATCAATAATTATAGTTAAAACTATGTTCACATAATAATTTGTACAAAATTTAAAATTTTACATTTGATCATATTATGGTATAGCTTGTATATTTTAATCACCCAAAGGTATCCAGAAAAAATTTGGATATTAAAAATCTGTTATATAATTATACAAGTGTATTGTGTTGTTATAATATAGATATTTTAATAATTATGGATCAATAATATAGAATTTTACTTTTAACAGATCATTTCAAAATAACTTTATTTATTTAGGCAATACAATCATATTTTTGATGGATTCTAATAGCTTATTTTTCTGAAAATTTTAATGTTCAAATTATCGTTTAAGTTTTATAGTTTTTAAACTACAATCCTCCGAAGTTTATAAATTCTTTAATAGTTTTCATTGAAATTCAAAAAATGTTATTTACATTAACTAAATAAATTTTTTTTAACTACAGTTGAATTCGCTTATTACAATGCCATATATAACAATATTCCCAGGTAAAACGATTCCAAGCAATGTGTTTGGTTGGTTTTGTATTTTATGTGTAGTATTTATAGTTGTATATAACAATATCAGTTACAATGATAATCTGGAAATAACTGTTATTTTGAAATAAAAATGGGTTTTTATATTCCCCTATGGTCTATAGCAATTAATAATACATGTAAAAGTAGAAAATTTAATTTCGTTCAATACATGTAACAATGTATACAATCATAAAATAAGTACTATTAGCAAAACTATTTTGTTGGCATTTGATCCAAAAATTAAATACATTTTATATATACCCATTAAATTATCAATGTTTAGTATATAAAAAGACATGAAATTGCATTAAAATAAAGTAAAAAAAAAAAAATTATTTAGCTTTAGTAAATCTAAACTTTTAAGAATCATTGTTAAATACTAATAAATTTAAATTAATGATTTTAAAATTAAAATTAAAAAAAAAAAAATCTCTATCAGAATTCATTAAAAATATAGTTGAACATTTTAATAATAAAGTTGATTTTACTCTTGGTACAGTTATATGCTTAAAAATTTTAATTAAAAAAATTGTCAATTAAAAATAAAGATTAGTCTTTTTTCTTCAAAATTCTATAACCATTAAAAAAAATATAAATTTAACTCATCAATTTATTAACAACTCAATAACAGTATATACTCGAAACCTACAGTATACAGTGACTATCGGTTTTTCTTTTTAAATATAAATGAACTTGGTGAGTTACCAAAGTAGTTTACTAACTTGATCATTCACAAAATATACAATGTTACAACAATAAAAAAAATATGTTTAATAATATATATATTTATATAAAAAAAAAAATTTCAAATATTAATAAAGCTCATTAATACTAAATTTGAATACGATTATTTTTCATTTATACAATTAAAACATTTGTTCCACATCACTCACCTTTATCAGTTCTCCGTCCAGTAGTATAAAATTCACACAAGACCAGAGAATGATAAAGGAATGTAATAGGAAAATATAAATTATGAATAAAAATGTTGTAAACATAATTAAATTTAATATAAATTACCTGAAAGTAACGAGTAAGTCCTGCATCACTTCTATGCCACATATAATAAAAATGACCATAGCCAGTGAGAAAGAGATATGCAGATATCAATATTTGAACATGATTTGCAATAGATGTTTTTATACTTGCTCCAGTTAAATTATATATTAAAATTATTAATTGCATCCAACCTAAAAATAAAATGTTGAACTTATTTGTTGAAATAAAAATGATGTTACTATAATTATTATTCTAAAATACATTTTTATTTGTTTATACAGAAATATACTTAAAATTTAATAGTTAATAGTTTAAAACTGTAAACAAATATTTATAATAAAAAATCATTGGTATTTTATGAATTAATATGAATATTTAACAAATTATTTTGAATAACTTTATAATTTTATCTGACATATTTTTATAATCTGTAATTTAATTACTTATAAATTTTATAAATTTTTTTTAAATTGAATACCTTTCCATTCGTCAGTTTGATCTCGATGAAGTACTTTTGTATATCTACTTTCTTCAGTAAAAAATAGACCAAGGACAAATACATAACCAACAGGCAACCAAAAACTGGCATCAGAATAATATTTGTTTTCTTTCATAAAAAAATTAGTTCTGAAAATTATTTAGTTTATACATTATAAGATGTTCTAAACAACTAAATAAAAGAATCATTAATTTACCTGTCGCATAAGTAAAAATATATCATAATAAGACCTAATTTTGAAAGAGAAATCATTACTACATAACATGGTTCATTTTTAGATAATCTATTTCGCCGATATCTAACTGCCATTAGAATTCCAATAAAAATACTAAAAAAAAATATCCCAAAATTATTAAAAATTTAAAAATGTTTATACAATAAATTTACTCACCAAATAATAAAAAAAATCAACATATAACTTTGTAATGAAGTATATGGTTCAGTACTTGAGCAACAGGTACCATCATTAAAATTCATGTGATCATTGCAATATAAGTTTAACAATATTTGAGCTCTTAATCGTAAAGATGCATTACTAGAATGTAGACCATCTGGACTATCACTCATTTCACCCTGAGACACAAGTCTTGAACTCCACCACATTTCAGCTGAACTTTTGCTCAATACCTACTCATTAACAAAATTCTTATTACTTAATACTTGTACAATTAAAAAAAAAAATTTTGATTATGTATTTAATAATTATTTATTAACAATAGAAATAATTTATAATATAAATTCAAGATAATCCAAAATATATTTATATTTTAAATATTAACTATAATATTTTATGATGGGTAAAAGGTTATTATGAACTATTGTATAAACAATAATATAAATACAATATAATACATTATATAATTTAATTTTTGTAGTTCATAATTATTAATTTATGACAACTGTATTAATATTTTTTACTTAGTTAAAACTTTTTACAGATGTTTTAAAATAATATTTGCGCATAAAAGTAAATTAAATCAAAATTTTTTATCTTTTGCTATACTAAATTATTTTTAATACTATTAGTCTTAACTCCAACTAGAAAAAATATTATTTCTAATTATATTAGTATTTTCTGATCATATACTCAGATTCAAGAAATTCACTATAATACATTTTGTAAATAAATTGTTCAAAATATTTTATTAACTTACATCCATTGCAGCTTCATTATACAGATCAATTAAATTATTAGTAACCATAGACATTGAATTATCAAGTTTACTCTCTTCAACTGGATCTTGCAAAACCCATAACACAATTGATTTTGATGAGATATCATTAATTGGCTAAAATTAATAACATTGAAATTAATTTTCAACTGTATAAATTAAACTTAATATTTTCATACCTTAATTAGTTGAGTAAGATTAGCAATATAATCTTGAATACCATTTAAGGATCCATTTGATTGAATGATGGGCCAAATAGCACTTCCTGCTACAATTACTCGAGGTTTATCATTTACATCCTATATCATATATCACTGTAAATTTTATTTTTATTTAGGTCGAATACATGGTAAAAATATTTGAATATATGTTCAATTTACTTGCTTTCAATTTTTTAAAATATTTGACCATTGGATCTACATATGGACTTCCAAAAAAGTTTATATCTAATTTCAGACGACTATCGTGGAATTGATGATTAGAGTCAGAATAACGAGGTGTAAATTTTGAACTTTTAAACATCTGTGCTTTTGGTTCTATTGTATGAATTAATGCATTATATATATCTAGTATTCTAGAATCACCAATAAAATTGAATTGATTATGACTTCCTCTAAATGCTAAATATTTTAAGCAACGGCTACAATCTCTGAAATCAATATTTTAATAAATATAATGTTTTATTATTATATGTAAAAATATAAGTTTATTGAATAAAAAAACTATAAATATAGGGTTTACAATTAATTATTATTTTATTAACTTAATGATTCTATTATTTGTGTTCAATAAGGGACTTTATAACACAATGAAGTTCTTTTATTTACATAATATTAATATTTTCTAATATTTAATAACATTCTTCTTTAAATTTAAAATTAATAAATTAATGTTAACAAATACTCATTCAATTTTCAAGTTTTATTATTTAAACATGCTAAGCATAATGTTTTAAATTATTTCATGATTTTTTTTCTTCAATATATCAAGATATTCATAAATAAAATGCAATCCGATGGTCTTAGAGCCATTACCCACGAGCAATATTTCATTGTTCAATAGTCTTATCTTCTAGAATATTTAAGCGCATCTAATTGTTTTCAATGTATCATGATTATCTTAATGTGACCGTGTGAACAGCTTTATTTATTAACATGTAATTTTAAACATTGAACTATGAAATATGGCTTGTATGTAATAGCACTAATAGCCATCACTCCCAATTTGCTTAAAAATAATGTTTCATAATTTTTTTTTTTTTATTAAAATATAATTACAATCTATACAACAATTCAGTATAAGTAATTTTGATATAGTATTTATATAGCGAGAATGACAGATGGGGAGGGCACTCAGTAGTGCCACCTGACAGATTAAAGTAGAAGGTCTCTAGGCCAGGAGTATGTTAGACGTCTCTGGGGGTTATCAGGGATTGTTAGAGAAGATGGGAGTTTTATTAGTGGATTGTAGTGTTGGATTAACTTCGAGTGAAAGGAGATGTAATAGAACTTTGTTAGTTGTGAGAGCGACGGAATATTTAGATATTTGTGTAGGTTATTATTTGTGATAAACCAAGGGGCAGAGACAATTTGCCTCAGACAGATAGACTGGAATGCTTGAATTGTTTTCACAAAATTAAATTATTAAATAATAATATAATATGATTCAAAAGAAACTGAGAAAAAATTTGACTGTATTAAATTATAAATATTTTATATATATGTGCATATGGACACATTAAAGGGGAATTTGCCCCAGGGTGGAAGTGTTTTTTAAAATTGTTTTAAGTAGTTCATATTTTCATATAAATATTCATAAAATATACCAATGACACAAAATAAATTTGCCTCCCCATATATTAATCTTTAATGCGCCCCTGTATGTGCATGTAAAAGAAAATATAAACTAGCATACAAAAGTATACTCATACAATAAATTAAATAGTGTTATATTCTTTAGTATGTTATTTTTAAATAATGATGTTTAAGATAAGGAATTAAATGTTTTAAATAGTAATTCAAAACAAATTTTTTTTAGTATTAATTTATTTAATTTTCTTAATTTTTTATATTTTTCTCACCATGTCACTTAAAAAAAAATAATTAACTGTTTTTAAAAGACGTTTCTCGTTAAGTACAGTAATAACTGGCTATTAAAATTGTTTTTATTCTTTAGTTCTAACAGAAATTAACAGCCACGGAAATATTATTTATATAAATCTATAACTAATTAATTTTGGTTGTTTTTTGCCCATCCATATTTAAATTTAATCAATTGTTTAATACAATTTAGTTCTTAAAAAAAAAAAACTGTTTTCATCAGTTGATCATATCATAAACGTTTCATTTATTACACATATTTGTTAAATATTATTGATATCTGATGTAAGCATATTATGACAGCTATGGAGTTACAAATAGTCATTACTGCAGACTAAATGCAGTAACAAATCCATACATTGAGTAATAGACTGAACCAAAATTAAACTTACAATTCACTATAATCATGCATCATGCAACCATATGGTTGCCAGCCCATGTCACCTTTGTATCGTCCATCGGATAGAAGCCATTTGCAAGAATCTCTTGCTACAAAAATATATGAGATTTTAATATGAATACTTGAAAATAGAATCAATAGTAGTATATTGTGTATACCTAGGTCTGATATTGTATACTTACCATAAAACAAATGAATACAAGAATGGATAACAATAAACCAAAACACAAAGCATAGCGCTATTTTTTTGGCATTTTTAGAGTTAAATTTTTTATTAATATCGTCGTGTTTTTGAATAGATTCGTTGCATAATAGCGGTGCTTCATCAGAGATTTGATCATCGGCCATTTTTCATGAATCATATATAAGCATTGCTGATATTTCGGTCACTAGCTGTTTTGCATTGATTTAACCAAACAAACAATAAATCACAATTATCAAAAAACTATCGGCAATTGATAGGAAAATGTTATTATTAAACAAAAATTGGAGCAAAAGGGCTAAAAAGACAAGAATTTAGAATACACATTAGGTAATTATAAGACTATTTTTTTTTTTTCGGGAGGATGAGATCAGAAATCATTGACCATTGGGGCTAAAACAGTGTAGCCATATCGCACCAACCTATAATATTGCAATCCGACATGACGTCCCGATGAGTTTACAATAGTTCACGATATTATCGTTGATAAAGACTAAAGAGCATAGATATAGTTTTTTTTTTTATTTATTCAATTTAAAATGTTTTAGCACATGTTGTGCTATTACTGCTATTACAACTATTTTAGTTTTTTATATAATGATAATAATAAAGAATAATAAAAAAAAAGAATAATGTTAATGAGGTCTAGTATATTATATTAATAAATAATATTAATAGTAATCTTCATTTTCTGATGGTGAGTCTTCAGTGTCTGTTAGGAGAATGTCCTGGGGTAGTTAACGTAGTCATCTGTTGAGGGTTTTTCTTCCTAGGTTGTAATGACGAGCACTGTTCAAGTTTTTAGTTTGGCGTGGAAGTTTTTAAACTGGGTTTTGATCCATGTGTTTATCAGGGGTATTCCCGTGTCATTATGGATCTGACGATTTCTCATGAACCCATGGTGCTTTGAGACATATCCTTAGGAATTTATTTTGTAAAATTTGGATTTTATCTATTTTAGTGGCAGAGGCAGCGGACCATACAGAACAGGCATAAGATATCAGTGGTCTGATTATTGCGGTGTAAAGAAGGAGAGAAAATTTCATTTGAAGGGTTGATTTATGGTTGATTAAAGGGTACAAGATTCTCATCCTGGCATATCCCTGTGTGAGTTTTTTGTTTATGTGGGTATTCATGTTAGTTTTTCATCTAGAAAAACACCAAGGTATTTGACTAAATCATTTTTTCTGCTTCATTGAATAATCATAGATATAGTTAAAAGAGCATCATTTTGATATTTTGTTATGAACGATTAAATGAATAACGATGGACTTTTAAGAAATCAAGCTGTACGATGTTTTGTCATTTCATTATAATTATAGTTCGCTAGTGTTACAATAATTATAAGGCATTAATGTATATTTAATAACTAAACACTTAAAGAATAATAATTAATTTCATTCTTTTATAATTTTATTCCTGCAAGTAAAAATTATTCTTGACTGTCAGTACTCACTACTCAGTATAGCGCTGTTATGACTTAATAAGTATAACAATTTTAAAATAAATTAAAATATTTTGAATGATAACTAAAGACTGAAATCTGGTTTAATATATTACATATTATTTATAGGTACCTACATATAAATATGTAATTAAGCCGACTGCTGCAGTAGCCCAGAAATAGGCCTTATACTTACTCTACACTAAATAATACAAGTTCTATACTCAGTGCGGGATTTAACATTTTTTTTAACTTGAAGCAAAATATAAAATTAATGACTAGCGCCCGGGGCACGTGCCTCAGATTGCCTCTCCTAGATCAGGTGCTATCTATGCTTAAAAATAAACATATTATGGAGTAGGATACCTATACCTATAAATTATTAAATATAGATAATTATTTTGATATAAAATTTTCAAGAAACTGTCTGCTTTTAATAGTCTAGGACATATTCTATTTTTACCAATGCTAAATTATGATCTCTTCACTATAAAATCGGTAAAAAACACAACATTTCAGACTAAAATCATGCCTTCCACAGGATGTTTTTTTATCTTCACAGCTAATATCTGAATCTGAACTCTAAAACATT